CATCAACTGGAAACTAGATAAAGAAGATTTTTTTTTATAAAATGGAGTACTACTCAGCCATAAAGAACGAGAAACTGGAGTCATTTATAGCTAAATGGATGCATATTGAGGCCATACTCTTAAGTGAAATAAATAGGACACACATGCGTAAAAACCGAATAGTTTCTCTAGTGTGAGAAACTGAGTGTAAATAAGGACTAAAAGGATTAATAACTAATAACTGATACTTTGAAATAGGAAAAGGTCCAAAGGGGTAGGGAAGTGTGAGGGGAAGGGGAAAGGAAAGGGAAAGGAAAAATTATGAGAAAAGAAAAAAAAATGGAAACGAAGTATGTAAATAGGGAAGGGTTTAAGGGTGAAGGGCACAAAGGTAATGGGGAAAAAATAAGAACCAAGATACATCATGTACAGGTACAAGCAACCAAAGATAAATCTAAATGTATTGTATACCTAAAATGTACCAATAAAAGAATTAAAAAGAAAAAAAAAAGGAATTATGCTATAGAGGCTGGGGATGTAGCTCAGTGGTAGAGTGCTTGCCTAACAGGCACAACTGTGCTTGCCCACAGGCTTTGGGTTCAATCCTCAACACCAGCCTCACAAGAAAAAAAAAATCACTCCACAATAAAGCTCAAGAGAAAATGATCATACAGCTCAAGTACCCTTTATGTGAAATTCCAAAACAGTCAGGACCAGAAGCATTTTCAGTTTCAGACTTTTCAGATTTTGTAATATTTGCATTTATATAATCAGAGATCTTGGGGATAGGAAGCAAATCTACACATGAAATTCCTTTGTTTCACAGACACCTTGTACACATAGCCTTACGGTAATTTTATACAGTATTTGTAGTATACCTTGCGATTCGACTTCAATCTATCACATGAAATCAAGTGGAGAATTTTCTCCTTGTGACATCACATTGGTGTTCACAAAGTTTCAAGATGTGGGAGCATTTATATTTCAGATTTTCAGGTTAGGGATACTCAGCCTTAGTTGTCTGATCATGGCAGTATTGAATTTTATCCTTTTAAAGAACGCTGAGTTTCCCTCCAAATCATACTTCTTCTATGAAGGATACATGACTTATATAATTGCACTTCAAGTTTTTTAAAAACTCACTGTGAACGGTAATATACAACACAAAACCTAGACACTATGAATAAACAGGAATGTATACAAAAATATTCAGGATATACTCAAGCAGAGAATGAAGATGCAGAACGTGAGGTTATCTCAGGCTGTCATTAACAAAAGCCCTTACCAGCACCGTGTAGTCAATCTGTGGTGCCATCTCAGCATTAGTTCCACCCTTCAAACAAAGTTCCGAGGGAGCAGCCGCAAAGAGAACACAGGGCATTGAAGCCTGCATCAAGAGGCATACACTCCTAAGGAGAAGGTAGAATAGGCTTAACTGTACTGCCTTTTCAACAATCTCAAAAAAAAAAAAAAAAAAAAAGCTGTAGTATTTATTATACTTCGGTGTCTGAATGGTAAAATCCTGAATCTTAAAGAAAATATTTCACAGTGAAAATATTTCTGATAAGCCAACCAGGCTGGGAGTATGACACCCAGTGACAGAGAATTTGCCTTTTATGCTTAAGGCCCCAATTTGGTGCCTAACATCACAAAAAACAAACCAACCAACAAACAAAAAAAATTAAATCCAAGTTTGAATTCAAGATTAAACACAGTGAGTGGGTCTTGGATAACTTCTGACACTTCTCTTTATAGTACAAAGAAATAAATAAAAATAAAATAGTAAAGCATTCTTCAAATGTTTTTATAGACTCTTGAAAGTAGCAGTTTATGAAAATTGCATTCAAAACAGTCATAATCTAGAACTATGCAACTGCTTTTATCTGAGTTGCTACCAGGCACAAGGCACTGTTCCAACTATCAAGTGAAGATACAGTTCCTAGCCAGGCGTGGTGGTGCACGCCTGTAATCATTGCTGACCTGGGCTATATAGTGAGTATAAGGCCAGCCTGAACTACACAGTGAGACTCTGCCTCAAAAAAAACACAAACAACAAAAAACAGATACAGTTCCTACCATCATGGAGTCCATGATAGGAAAAAATAATGTTTTACAAAGTCTGAAAGTTAAATATTTCACATGGAAAAGTTTCATCCTTACAGTCAAAAATGTGAGAAATCACAAGAAATAATCACAGAACCCAAACTACTTTAAAAAATGAAACATTTGGTCAGATTGTGCTATTAGCCCCCTTCTCCAAAGTCACAAAAAACAAACATATTCAAAAGTAGACTGTAGTTTTTCAAGGGAATTTGATTAGCTCCCACATACCAAAACACAGATTTTAACTTTCTTTTGACAAAGATACACATTTAACTGAACAGGAAAGTCTCTATCACTGATAATTTCATTTTTTCAATAAATATTTATTGACTGAAATGTGTTTGGTATTGGAAGAGAAAAATATAGGCAATATAATCCTTGTTCTCAAAGAGTTGGGCTAAAGAGCAAATGAAAAAGACTTGGAAATGTTTGTCTTACTGTAAGCCAGAGCTTTGTAACTACAACTGAACTTGTTTATCCCTTCTGAGTAATCCAATATATGAAGTATTTTCTCTCTCTCTCTCTCTCTCTCTCTCTCTCTCTCTCTCTCTCTCTCTCTCTCTCTCTCTCTCTCTCTCTCTCTCTCTCTCTCTCTCTGTCTCTCTCTCTCTCTTTTATTTTTTGGAGACAGGGTCTCACTATGTAGTTCAGGCTGGCTTTGAACTTATTATGCCCAGGCTAACCTCCAACTTGAGGAGATGCTCCTGTCTCAACTTCCTGAGTGCTGGGATTACAGGTGTGTACCAAGTATTTATTTTCTCACCAATAAAATCAGACTCTAAAAATAGTAAAAGCTGGATACAGTGGCAAATGTCTGTAATTCTAGTGCTCTGAAGGTTGAGGCAAGAGGATTCAAAGTTTGAGGCCAGCCTCAGGCAATTTAGCAATTTGGCGACTTAGCAATACCCTGTCTCAACTAATTAACAAAAGAAAGAGAGAAGACAGACAGACCTCAAGCTGGGCATAGTGGCACACCCTGGCTACCTGAGGCTTAACAGGAAGAATGAAAATTCAAGGCCAGCATGGACAATTTAGGGAGGCTCTCAAAATAACATGGGCTGGAGATACAGTTTATTGGAAGAGTACCTGACTAGCAAGCACAAGGCTCTGGGTTCAATCCCCAGCACCACAGAGGGAGAAAGGGAGTGAGGGTCCTCATTCCACATACAGGATAAAATGTCAGATATAGTAATAGCTACAACTGAGCTATTAAGCAGTCAAACTTTTATATTCATTATCTTTAACCTTCAAACGTATCTTATCGACATTTTTAAATTCAGGAAACTAAAGCACAAAAGGTTAAGCAACTTTCCCAGTAACACTTAGAAACTAGATTTCACTCTAACTCCAACAAAACTTTAAGGGCAAGTAAGTGATACATACCCTGCTGTCTTGGTATCTGCTGTGTGGACTCCACCTTTGATCTTCTCTGGTATAAAGGTTATTTCTGTTGAGCCAATTTCTGCCCCCTCCAGTCTCCCGTCACACAAATCTCGAATCATTTCCAGTCCAGATAAATGTTGAGGCCTTCAGGTCATAATACTGCATCAAAATGTGTGCATTCAGACTGCCTATATCCCCACATTTTAGGATATATTTACACAACTGCGATGGCAAACAAACAGCAAGGTCTAATCACAGTAGGTGCTACATGCCCAGTGTCAGGGCTTCCTTTTGGGTTTTTACACTTAGACGTCTTGTAGGAATCATTTAGAGAGTTCTTTTGAGACCAGTTATTTTGGCTATAAAAACACACAGTGGTGTACTGTTGCAAATTATACGTGTACAAAAGAGAATCAATAAAGGGGCCATCAGTCTTGCTTGCATTTCACTATATAATCTTCGGTACCTCTTATGGCCTGGATTGGGTTTCCCCAAAATTCACGTTGAAGCCCTAATCCCAGTACATTAGAATGTGATTGTATTTTGAAACAAGATGTAATTAAGTTAAAGGCCTGGAACAGATTTTGCCCTTGTAGCCCTCACAGGAAACCAACGCTGCCAGCACGCTTACCTTGGACTCAGCCTCTGGAACTGTGAGAAAAACATTTCTGTCGTTTAAGCCACCCAATCTGTGGTATTCTGTTATGGCAACACTAGCAAACCAGTAAATACCTAGCACAGCCTTAATGAGGTGGATTTCTCTACCGGTGTACTGGACTTGCTGCCAACAACTGCTCAAACGAAATTAATGGTCACATGTATCGATATATTGCTTTTTAACTATTTCAAACTGTGGATAAAAGACTAAGAAATAGCTCATACTAAAATGGAATACATATTGGATATATAAAAAGGAATCACTTTGGCCTCAACCTAAGTCCTCTTCTAACAAGTGTATCTATCTGAAACTTTTCTAGTAGCATGCGTAGCACTCTCCACAACAGATAATTCTGGTCATATTCACACCTTCCTACAGATCTGAAGGAAAGCTTAAATAATGCCGCTCAGATTCCTCTCCTGTTCTATGATTGGAAAATGTGTGGCAGCACAGATTGCACTGGTTTAAAAGTGGGGTTTCCTCTAGTCTTAAGAGACAGTTCTGCCCTTACCTATCTTATCCACGGAGGTGTACCTGGAATGCCCCAAGAGGTGGGAAAACATTTTTAAGAGAGCTTTTTTAGCAAATGAAACAACTGCAGTCAGATAGAGAAAACTCGAGCCTCTTTCTAAATTCGCTCCTTGATGCTTCCAAGATCGCATCAGGAAGCCACCGCCCAGGCAGAGTCCGGGGACCAGGAAGGAGGCCTGAGGGGCGCTCGCCGGGATCGACCCTGAGATCTCCCCGCCACCACCAACCCGGCCGAGATCTCCAAGGCTGCATGACTCCGACTCGTGATCCCGGACCCAGCGGCCTTCAGGAACTCGCCCCACGGCCCGCGCCCGGCTCCCCAGCCACCCCGCTCACCTCAGGCCCGGGGTACTGCGGCCCGCGCGGATCTTCTGCACCCGCAAGGGGAGGCCCAGGAGACAGCTCAGGGCCGTGGAGACCCTGAGGATCTGGCCGCCCTGCAGGAGGGGTGCGGGGAGAAGAGATGTGAGAACGTCCACTACAAACGCGCCCCCGCCCCCACCTGCGCTGCCCCGGCCGCTGGGCCTCAGCCCCGCACTCACTCCCTCCAGGATCCCTCCATCCACCTCCACCCGCGGCCCCGCCATGGGGGGCGTTCTGGGCCCTGGCCCGAAGCGACGGCGTCTCCACTGAAGGGCGAGAAGAAAGAGGCGTTGGCTCCCGCCCCGTAGCGATGAAATCTCGGGCCACACTCAGGCTGCAAGGCTTAAGGGAGGAGGGGAAAAGACAGATCACCGGAGCACCCCGATGCTGGGGCCGTGAACTCCCGGGCAGCAGGGTCGAGCAGTCCGTGCGCCTGCGCACGGCCGTGAGCGGAAGGAGGCAGCGCCGGAAAGGATCGCAGCCCAACCCGGAAGTGGGTGCCAGGCCAGGAGGCGCTTTGGAGACCGCGGGGAAAAAAGGACTTGAACACAATGAAACCGGCAGGTTGCACGAAGCGTCCTTGCCTTTCTAACTGAATCTGCCAGTTGTCGCGCAGGCTTGTGCTTTATCTCTGTTTTATCCAGGATTGTGCTGCTATAAGAAAAGTCCAGATGTGCAAAGAAGAGTAAGACAGTTAATACTTGGAAGGTTTTGGAGGTATAATGGAAGGAATGACAAGTAATGAATTGCAGTGTCATCCACAGTAACGATAATTAATATGTACTTATGGGTTCATTGGGGCAGCAATTACAATATGATAAACTAACAATAACAGCCAGTGTTTATTGAGCGCTTAGCTCTTTGCATCATTCACCACATTCATTCATGCCTCGATGAAATATTTACTATTTTAAGTGTTTTTACAGGTTTTAATGCTAAAGTCACACAGTTGTTAACTAGAAGATTGGGAAGTGAACCGGGATAATCTGATGTAAATATCACTGTCTTCTTTTTTTTTTTTTTTTTTTTTTCACTGTCTTTTTAAGTCAGTATTTTTCTGGCAGAATGTCCTGGGAACACAGAGACTATATAAGATACTAAGCAGGGAGGTAATCCTATTTATATTTTAAAATGATGACTTTGGCAGTATGAGAATGGTGAATAGAGGCCTAAGACCCTGAAGGCAGAAATGCCAGTGATGCAATTGTCTAGGCAGGAGATAATGAAAAATTGAAGTAAGGCATTGTCAGTGGGTTTGGAATGTAAAAACTATACTCTTATCTCACATTTTAGTTTCCTATCAAAACCTCTGAAGAAGGCTCATCCTTTGTATTATTTATTTATTTCACTGCTGGATATTGAACCTTCAGCTTTGCACATGCTAGGCAGGCACTCTACCACTGAGAGCCCAAGCCTGGCTTGCCCTTTTAAATTTCTGATTCTCATTATGAATTCCTGCCTCTGGCCCTTTCTCCCCATTCCACCTACTTCCAGTGGCAGGGAGGAATGAACAAAATGGCAATATGATACAAAGATCTGCCAAGAGAGTGGATAATAGTAAGCACTTGTATAGTGCTATGTTAAAACTGTGTGCTTGGTGTTCTTGTCTCTTTTTGGCCAGTAAGGGAACAAGGCCATGAGAACTGAAGTAACATTCCAAGATGAAGAAACAAGTATTAAGTGGTACAGTTGGCTTAAATCCTGGGTCTTTTCAATTATCTACAGAGAGAGGACAGTTTCTGATACCAGATTCTTCATCTGAATAGTGGAAGTCAAAAAGACAGTGGACTCATTCGACATTTTCAAGATCATGCATGACTGACAGTAGCCATCAACTTAGGATATCAGGCAAAATTATCTGTCAAGAACAAGGGTAAAATGGCCGGAGATTTAGCTCATTGGTTCCGCCTCCTGCCTCGAAAGCACAAGATCCAGACTATCAAAA